GTCTCTCAAACCATTTTTCATTTTGACTTTATTCAAATTATAAGCCATTTTAGTTCAAATTTGGACCAATCATGCAACTTCATGTTATGAGCTTTTCCAACAATTTGTGACCTTCTTTCTAGACTCAAAATCACATTTTGAACAAGTTTGATGTTGTAAGTTTTTCCATTTGAGGCCTCCTTGTATGAGTTTTGGACATAGGTTAAAATGACCTGTAATTCACAAATGCCCAAAATACCCTTTGCTTGCCAAGACCATAAGTTGAGTTCCACACATCATATGAAGGCATACTATACCATTCTAGAAAGCTAAGACAATGAGGAACAATTCTTATGTTGACCAAGAATTCATTTGAAATCTCCTTGAGGGGTAAAAATTGCTTGGAAGTCAAGTCACTTTCACAGACAAAATTTCAGATACCTCAGATGACCTGTAACTTGCAAGGACCATAACTTGAGTTCTATAAATCTCCTTGATGTCTTCCACCACTCAAATTAAAGGTCTTGAGATCCTCTACAAGTTTCATGTTGGCCAAGAAGCCATTTGAAGCTAGCCTTTTGACTTATCTTGCTTGGAAATTTGACCTAAACTAGGGGATTTTACACAGAAACCCTAATTTAGAAACTCCTCTTCTCCTTGATTTCTCTTGAATTCCTCTTGGCATATCTCCATATCCTTCTTCATATGTCCAATGATGAACCCCACATCTCTCCAATAGCTTTGAATACCCCTTAAATCAGTCAATTGACCTAGGGTTGACCTAGGGTTGACCCAGATGAAACCCTAGTTGACTGCCTTCAACTATAGCTCTTGTGCTCTCATCAATGAATTGTCTCCTTCTTTAAATGACTTTATAAGTCTCTCATAATGTCTATATACTCTCCATGCCTTCAACTCACAGCTCACAACCCTCTTGTTGACCCTCAGATATCCTCAGCTAGGAGATGGACTCAAGGCTTGATCTGCTGAGCTTTTTGCTTTCAAATTCTTTCCTGATGACTTGAATGAGATTGAATTGGGATAATAACCTCTTGATAGGCCTCTAGAGATGAGAATAATGATTGGTCCCCTGTTGAATGACTTTGCTATGCTTATGTTATGCAGATGGTTAGTCTATGTACATGACTCTATATGCAAATGCTAATGATATTAAAACATAAACCAAGTGAATAAGGTTGGGCAAATTTTAGGGTGCAACAATGACCATTTTAATTCCTTTAAGAATAACAATATCATGACATCTGTTGTAACATCTGCAGACTGACATAACTGTTTATCTAACCATTTAAATTTTGCAGAATTGTAAATGCAGTAACAGACAGTCGATGTTACAATGGATGTTATGACATCCACTTCTAGACAGACTATTAAACTTAGCAGTAAACAAGTCACAAATGCAGTAAAGAACACAGGGAACTGTTAACCCAGGTCGGTGCAACATCACCTACATATGGGGGCTACCAAGCCAGGAAGGAAATCCACTTATAGCATAATTAATTCAGAGCTAAACTCCCAATTTACAACTCCTCACTTAATCTCTACCCAATGCAATTTCTGCCTAGAACCCACTAGACAAGAGACACCTCTCACTCCCCACAATCACAGCAGTGATAAACAATTCAATACAAAAGGAAGACTTAAGAAGACACTCTTCAAAGTCACAATACTTGATTTTGCTTAACAGCTTCAATCAAGAACAATACACTCTTGCTTAAAAGCTTTGAGTGAACAATTAACACTGTACAAATAACATCCTAAATATGTCTACCACGATGCATCCAAAGATACAAAGGGTGACTTACAAAGTTACACACAAGAGACTCTCAAAATCCTAAACCACAAAACACACGTGAAGATTAAGTTACACCAACAGAACTCTTCACGATACAATCTCTCAGTCTCTGTCTAAAATCCCCAACGAATTAGGATTGTTACTTCTGTATATATAAGCAACATACAGTCCTTGGGCTTAGGTGTAGAAATTAGGTTTACCCAAGATAAACCTCTCTTCATGAAGTTGCGCACATCCAATTTGGTCAGGGGCATTCCATGTTATCCCCAGCAATGCTTGACATGTCGCCTGAGATAACTAGGCTTCCTAAAATGTTTCCTGAAGTATAGCCTGAGCTAATACCAAAAAACTTAAACCTGCGCCCTGATGTCATATGCTTGATGTCATAACATCCAGCATGACATCCAACTTAACTTGCTCTTAGCTATCTCAACTTACCATGCAGAACACTCTTGCAGAATCTTCTTCATAACAGTAGAAACAAATATATTATAGTTTCCTAAAAAGTCTCAAAGATCCTTTTTATGAAATCCAATTAAATTTGTACTTTGTTCCTAATCAATCTCTTTGACCTACACATACTGATGAGGTACCTCAGTCAAAATAGCAGCTCCTGCTGTACCAGACAAGGATGTCATGACATTCAGCATGACATCTTGATTAAAACACATGACACCAGTTCTGTCATAACAGTAGATGTAGATGTTATGACATCTTGCTTAACATCAATGCAGAATCATGTTTTACCAAAATTTAGCCAATCATAGAAACATGGAACTAACACAAATGTTTACACCAATTAAACTGCTCTTCTGATAGTTAACTTTTAGGCCCGACGTCATTTTCAATAAGGTCAGATTTGCTTTTATACACCTGGTATTCCTCTAATTTTCTAACCAGTTGTTATTGTATTGTCTGCATACTGTAAGTGTGTGTATCTTTCCTCGTCGTTATCAATTTTGTATCCAGAATAGCTTTCTAACTCATATGCTCTTTTCATAAGAATGTTAAAGCCTTCTGCCACTAACAGAAATAATAAAGGGGAAAATGGATCTCCTTTCTTCGAGCCTCTGCTGACACTAAACTCTTTAGTGGGACTCTCGTTTGCCAATAACGACACCTTTGATGACTTCAAACATTCTAAAATCCACCTTCTCCATTTCGAGTGAAAGTCCATCCTCTCCATTACCTTGTCTAGGAAATTCCAATCCACTGAATCGTATGCTTTTTCAAAATCCTCCTTAAACAAAATTACTTCTTTTTTCTTCTGTTTCGCTTCATTGACTATTTCATTGGCAATTAGTATGCCATCCAGAATTTGTCTCCCCGAAATAAATGTTGACTGCGTCTATGAAATTATTGAATTCATCACTTTCCTAAGTCTATTCGCTAGTACTTTTGATATCACTTTATATATGCACCCGACTAAAGAAATTGGTCGATATTCATCCAAATTTGTAGGATTTTTCTTCTTCGGGATCAGTACCATGAAAGATGAGTTCGCCCCTCTAACCATTTTCCCATGCTCATGAAACTCGAACAAGACTCTAAGAAAGTATCCTTTAACTTCATCCCAAAATTCTTTGACGAACCCCATGTTTACTCCATCTGGACCGGGACTTTTTGAACTATCACAATCCCAAACCGCTCTTCGAATTTCCTCCGAATTTACACCGAAGATTCTTTTGAAATTTAGATTTACCTCTATGTTGCTCTGTCTTCTGGACTGGAAGTACTGATGGAAATGGTCTTGGATGGCCATCTTCGCTTCTTCCACTCCAGACACTCTTCTACCGTTGACCTCAACACTCATTATCTCGTTATCTCGCCTCCTCTTATTGATACATCCGTGAAAAAATTTAGTGTTAGCATCACCTTCTTTCAACCATTTTTGTCTCGACCGTTGCCATTGAATACTACAATTTAGATTATAGAGCTTGTATAATTCTACCACTTTCGTCCTTTTAATGTCTATTTCTTCTTGGGACAGGCCTTCAGTTTCTTCCTTACGATCGTGCATGTTCACTTCTTCTTTGATGACCTTTATTTTTTTTCTCCGAGATTTTGGGAATGGTTTTTTTGCCACTCCTTTAACTCACCTTTTATCCTCTTAAACTTCTCTTTCAGGACGAACATGCCCCGACCTTCAATCTCGATATTCTTCCACTCCTACCTAACAAACTTGTGATAACCTTCTATTTCCTTCCAACAAGACAGCATCCGAAATGGTTTCGGACCCCAATTCTGATTCCAATGCTTCAATATAACTGGGCAGTGATCAGACAAACGTTTTTTTGATGCAGCTTTGTTTATGCTCCGGCCATTCGCTAACCCAAGCTTCTGACACTAAAATTCTGTCAAGTCTGCTCATAGTCGTTCGTCTCGTTCTAGACCAAGTGAATCTTCTACCGTGAAGAGGGTGATCTATTAACTCAACCTCGGTAATGAACTCATCAAAATCTTTCATCTCTCTACCTCTAAGCCTTTCGCTTCTTCCTTTTCTTTCTGACGGGTTCCTGACCGCGTTAAAATCTCTGACCACGCACCATCTTTCTTCTTTATTTCTTTGAATATCTGCTTTTAATTCATTCCATAACACTTTTTTCGCGTTTGTGTCGCAAGGAACGTACACATTCACAATATTTACCTTCGATTTCAACTCCCCCATTCTCCAATCAACCAAGTGTAGTGACTTTTGACATATCTCTCTTTTACATTGAAACTCCTGCTGTCCTAAACAGATAGTATACCGCCCGAACTACCCGCCGCACCGTCGTCCGATTTACTTATTTACATGTCTCATAACTAATGGGGTAATTGTTTTCCAATCAAAGGCTTTGATTCTCCAATAACACGACTAGTACTACTTTTGAATAAAAAGGCTAAAAGCCATAAAGCAGATCTTAAAATTGAGCAGTAACAAACACACAAGTACAACTCACATCACATGCTCATCTACCCTTTACTTTTTCCATTCAGAGTCCCCACACACTAATCTCAACGTCTCTCTAAATTTCCTGTTAATCTATCCGTTAATCTCACCTCACATTTTTATCCTTTTTAAACCCCCTCTTTCATTCCACACACACATTCTCTCTTTATCATTGAGCTTCTCATTCACGGCACTGAGTATAGTAGACAGTAGCAGCAGTACTTCATATCAGTACAGACAGATTGCAGCATCATAACACTAGCAACCAAACCAACCATGCCCACTAAACTGCCTCTTCTCTTTTTCTTTTTTTTCATATCTCTCACATCAGGTATGTATTCAATAATTGGTTTTGCTATCCAAAAAAAGGGCAATAATGCAGTATACCTGCTATTTCTGTATAATCTTTATTATATTTTTAATCTATTTCTCTCAATTATTTTACTTGTTGAGTATTTAATGTGCAGGGTGGAATGTGATCATGGTTAATGGACAGAAAACATGGTGTGTGGCAAAGCCTTCGTCAGATCAAGCAACACTTTTATCAAACCTAAATTACGCTTGCTCTCAAGTTGATTGTAGAGTTCTCCGTAAAGGATGTCCCTGCTCTACCCCTGACAATCTCATCAACCATGCTTCCATAGCCATGAATCTCTACTATCAATCTAGAGGGAAAAATCACTGGAATTGTGATTTTAGAGCATCTGGCTTAGTTGTTGTCACTGATCCAAGTAAGTCACATAACTTATTATTCTTGATGTTTGAGGTTTTAAATTAATTACTTAATTAATATTTTTCTGATTCTGAATTGTGCAGGTTATGGTGATTGCATTTATGCATAGGAGTGGACTAGTAACTAATAGAATCTATATAAATAAATAGTATATTATGTTCTTTTTGTATCCAAAATATGGTAATGCATTTGGTTTATGTTGCTGTAATCTTGGGGTATATTAGCGTTTTCAACCTTATGGATATTGGCATATGCCATATTACATTACATCAAATTTTCTCTTTCCTAAATAAATCAACCTTATGGATATCTGTGTGTATTTACCGTGTGACTTGTATGCATTAGCAACATTGTGGTTTGGTGGCCAAGTCCTCTTTCTATTGTAGACGAAACTTCTTTTGAGCATAATAAATATTCAAAATCCCGACTTTGTAGATTTAGTCTCTCGTAATACATACCATGACACGCATTAATTGAAAATTCAGATATTTTACATCAATTTATGGATGACAACTATTTAGGTACATCAAAATAATGTCATATTGTTTGGAAATCGAAATTATAATTAGTTTATATACAACACATATTTCTCAATTCAACTAGACACCTTTTTAAAGTGGCAAAATTGTGATAAATTCTCACATTAGAAGAAGACAATATTTCATAGCCATAATGATAGCGAATTTGAGATTGACATTGACACAAGAATGAGGAGTTGGTCTCACATATTCGCACCCCGATCGCTAGTCTCGATTGCGGGGCCAAATGTTTTGGTACACCAAAATAGTCTTATATTATTTGGTATCGATTGGAACAAGAGTGAGCCATTTGGGCAAAATTATGACTTTGTTCTCACACCTAAAACAGACAATACCTGGTAGCTGCAGTGACACGGACTTGGGATCTATCAAAATATGGCCCAACCAAACGATCAAAAAATATCAGTCCTATTCCAATGACCAATCTAGTGTTTCATGATCTATTTCATTCACTCTTTCAAGATATACATCTTAGTCCACACTCCTGCAAAATATACATCTTAGTCCACACTCCTGCAAGATATACCTCTTTCTCTTTAACCACACCAACTTTTGCGTTGGAATGCTAACCTTGTAGGTACACCCTTCTCCTTTCTTGATTCTTGTAAAATTCACATCGAACTCATCTAATCTCACGTGTTGTGTGGATGTAACCGTTCTTGGTAACTGATTGAATCACTGCAAGTATTCTCAACCAACAAATGTAGCTTCTAAATCAACTTAATTGGCCTCCCATCACAACATCGCTCCTACAAATGACACTGCCACACTAGTTCTCGTTTCCACTCGTGAAGATCCTACCTCGTCTCCCTAGATTCTGATTCCTACATCGGTCGGCCAGGAAACTTTCCAAGTCATGTCACCATTCCAACCTTTTCAAGAGTTGCTTCAAGAAAAAAAACATTAAAAAAACCTTTAACGCAAACACGAGCACCTGAACCAGAAATGTTTCAGAATCTTCAACAACTCCAAGCAACACTCGGAATGTAAGAAGAAAGCAAGCACATAAAAAGCATTTACAATCTAGTGCAACATATAGTGTACTCCATGCGAATGAGAGACTCCTATGTATAGATGAAAATTAACAAAAGGAAACATCTCGAGCAATTACAAAATAAGAAGTACTACAATGCACAAACCTTTGGGCCACACCTAATGCAATTCTCGGCGACGCCACATAACCCCACCAATCCCCCCCCCCCCCTTCATGAATCGAGAGGTGTACATGGTAGCCACACCCCTCCTGAAGATCATCACCTTAATAGATCCCTGACGCACCAGTCTCTAAAGAAGTATATGTGAGATACCATGCACTAATTCCTTCTCTCTATCAAAAGAACCCATTTGCAAAACACAAACCCTCAAAACCGCCAAAGATAGACAATTACGATAAAACCAAAGGTCAAGATGAGCACATAGAGAACTTCGACACCATGTTCGAATACCACCATGCCAAAAGTGCAGTAAAATTTAAATTATTGATGTTATCTCTTAAAAGATCCATTATGACGTGGTTCAAAAACTCAGAGGACGACTCTATCAATTCTTGGAGAAAGTTGTGTGTTAAGTTTAAGATGATTGTCTACATGGGAATAGTTTTCTAAACGAGTTTCCCTAAGGAGCGTAACTGTCGGGGAAAGTTTAAGAAATCTCACAAGGATCGGCTGAGGGAATTATACCCCATAAAGGCATACTAGGGATAGTGTTGCTAAGTATCCTCTTCTTGGGAAACAAGTTCCAAGGATACTCATTGAGGATTATATTTAAGATCGACCCACTAGGATGTATACTGGGAAAAACGATGGAGATAAGCTTGAGTGGAGAGTTATCACCGATTTAGTTGGGGATTGATCCAAACTTTTATGATGAGTCTTGAGTCTTTTGCATATGCTATGTATCTATGTTATGTATGCATGTTATTTTATGTTATGTATGCATGTTATACTATGTGATATATACATGTATGCATGTTATGTTATGTGATATATGCATGTTTGAGTAGTATGACGTAATGCTCCATTTTTGCGTGATGTGATGCATGAATGTGATGTTCGATTTCCAGACAAAAAATGGGCTTTGAAATGATTTTCCAGACGGGAACTAGGCTTTGAAATAATTTTTCAGACGGGAATTGGGCTTTGAAATGATTTACCAGATGGGAACAGAGCTTTGGAATGATTTACATGGTAGTGGCGGTGATATACAGTCTTTAGGAATAAGGGTGGGTGCCCCACATGAATCGTGATATGCATGACGATTAAGACTTATTTTTATGCGTGAAGTAGGATAATTGGTTATGTGATATGTGTTAGAAATGCATGGTGTGTGATGATCGAAATGTTGTTAATGAGGATTGGGTTTTAGGGTAAGTGTCAAGTGGGATAGGTCTTTTATAAGGTGGCAAGCAAGGTCGGGATTTTGTAAGGTTGGGATTTTGAGAGGTGCTAGACGAGGTTGAATTTTGGTTTTTTAGATGTGTCAGGCGAGTTCGGGCTCTTGGATTTTGAGGCTTCGAGTGAGGTCAGGCTCTTTGATTGTAAATGTTGGGTGCCAAGCAAAATTGGGCTTTTGGCTGTAGATATTGGGTGCCAAGCAAGGTGGCAATTTTGTAAGATGTCAAGTAAGATTGGGCTTTTGTGAGGGATCAAGTAAGATTGGGCTTTTCGTAAGGTACCTAGTAAGTTTGAGCTTGAATTCCATATGAGGTTGGGCTTTTTGTAGGTGGTTATGTTACAAGGCTTTCTGATGATGTCAGATTCATGATGTGGGAATATTCCAGATGAATGCGATGGTATGTGTGGTTTAATGCCAATATGATTGATGCATTAGGATGATTAATGTGATGTCTTTAATGTTTCAACAAGTGTCCCTGGGGCGGGTCGTGGGCGGTTAAGGCTTATAGAGGTTTTTTTATGTAACAACACTAGTTGTCAACTGGTGGTAGGGTGTTGTGCTAGCATGACCTCCCGACACTCATGTCAAATACGATGATTGTTGGTGTACGACAGAGTTTGCTTGAGCAGCTTGGAAGTATGGAGGGTACTTACCCCTCCGTAGCCTATATTGCCCCAATCAACTGGGTTTTTAAAGATACTTATCTCGGTATGATCTTTGAAGCAGTCTTGCCATACGATGACTTTGAGACAGCTTTCCCTCATATCTTGATTCTTGAAGCGATATTCCCTTGATTAATCGATTCTTGGAACGGTTTACCTCATATTGACTGATCTTTGAATGGTTGGCTTTACCATGCTTTTAAGGTGGCTTTCCCTAACACGACCTTGAAGAGATTTGCCCTTGGTCGACCTAATCTTGGAATGGCTTCTTTTGTTCGAACCTTGTAAGTGATCTGCCCTAGTATTCGACTGAGCTTTGGAGGGATTTTCTCCTGATCAACAGTGTCTTCAAAAGATTTTCCCATGTTCGTAGGATCTTTGAAGAAGTTTCCTGAAAAGGAATTTGGATCCCATTATGTTGCAATGTGACCTTGATACGGACTGCCCTGGTATTTCAATCTTGGAAGGTTTGTCCCTAATTAATAGAATCTTTAGATGATCTACCCTTGATTATAAAGATTTTCTTCTGTTTGGCAGGAGCCCTGTGTGATTTACCCCTAGTCAAAAGTGTCGTTAAGTGGTATGCCTCTACTTGGACCATTGTTGAAATTTCCTCGATGCTAAGTATTGATTTATGAGTAAAATTGTTCCTTTTGAAAAGTAATTCTAACGCAATGCTCATGCAAGTTTTGAAATCAATTTTTTTTTACAGAAAGCATATAGGATGTGTACAATGGGTAATATTTGGCCGTGAGGATGGCAAGAATTAAGATGTAAAACTATGGTGAGAAAATGTGTTTAGCAATGATTTAACAAACACTTGGAGTTAGTTTAATAGTGATTTTGTTGAGTATGATTTCATAGTGAACCTACCTTCAATTAGGTCTTTTGAAGATTGTAACGTGCCTTGGTTCACGGTTTATGAAAAAAATATAAGGCTCAAATTTTGATTTAACCCACCCCAACTCCTTTGATTTTCTCCATTCCTAAATCCAATTAACTCGACGGATGCATTCAGTCAGCAAGAGAACTTTGGTAGGCATGATTATAGAGGTAGTGGTTCAAGCACTTGATGAGATTCTTGAGGTGGCAGTCACCTAGTTTTGTTTACAAGTGTTGCACCCTAAAATTTGCCCTCTTTCAAGGATTGACTCATTTCTTCAAATTCAATGTCATAAGGGAAGCCCATCATTCCAAATTCAAGATTCATGAATTCAAGGCTAGATTCAAGAATATTAAAAAGAAAATTCCATGACACTTGCAAGAATGTCACACTTGTTACAAAATCCAAACTCTTGGTAATACTTAGGAAATTAAGTTATTTCTAGTCTTAATTCAAGTTTCTAAAAATAACTTCATGTCATGGTATCCCCCCATGCTCCATCAAGTCCACATGACCCTCTTTGTGCTTACGAACATGCAAGGAAAATATTTAAGAGCTAATTCAATGTTGGAATATCTCAAGATCAATACCATGCATGTTCAACCATGAGTAATATGAATGCAATCCAAAA